AATTTCGATGTTTGTACTTTTCTATATGTTTAGTTTTACCTATATTTGTATCGATTGAAGCTACAATTATATTTATCTACTCTAGACTCTTTGACCGCGCTTCTACTTTTGCTTCGTGCACAAGAGTTTCCTAAGAAAAATATCTTAGGTCAGCTTTCTCTAAAAATTCTTTTAATCGAATCAAACACTTCAAAAAAACAAAAAAAAATCCAAAAAAGTCCAAAAAGAATTTTTAATCGAGTAGCTTTTGACTTTTCAAAAATCTTGATGGGCTCACTTTTTAATGTCAAAATAAGTCATTTGCCTCGTGAAGTAGAAATCAATGCAACCATTAAGAATAAAAATACCCAACATTGTTCACAAGTTATGAACAAACCATTCATATTATAAATTACGAACTAATTGTAATACACAAGTGAGTTGTCAATGACAACTGACAAGTCTAACACGATATAATAATGAATCCTACCGCGGCAAGTCCAAAAATTGTGTCTTTTATCTTTATTATCAAAATAAATAGTCCCTTGTGTAAAAATTAACTTATAAAGTTAAACAAACATGATTAAAGCAAAAAAAGTTAGTCTCAATCCCCAACATGTATTGTGTTCTTATATACTTTTTCACCCTTCTCACCTTCTTATTAGCAAGTGATAGGGCCATAGGCATCTTTGTAGATGCCTTCACACGGCCATACAATCAATGTCTATCAACTCTCAACACACACTTATTGACTAAAGCTGGTTCACACCATACCTACCTAATCGTCGATTAAGGAGAAAATCCATGCGTGTACACGCAAGCACGAGCATAAAAAGAGCGACTTTCTATCCATTTTCGTAGAAGTGGGTTATCAATATAACTATTACATATTTAGACGAGATCTAAATGTCTTGAGTTATTTGTTTGCTCTCGAGAATTATGTAAAAAAATAGAAATATTATACGAAATAAGAAATTTTATATAATTTTTTATTCTATGAATTGGAAAAGGAAGACAAGTTATTTGTATGATTGCAAATTATTATAAAAAGGTAGTTCTATATTTACTATACAATCACATTATAGGATTAATTTCATTCACGATCACTGAACTTTCAAAGAATTCCTAACTGGGTCATTGAAGTTCAATTTATTTTTAAATTTAATTGTTTTCTTACATTTTGTCGACTATCTTCGACCAAACTGGGGGAATTTTCTTAGTTGGCTATCACACCGAAATTGGTCATTCTACTTTATGAAAAGAGTAAAATTAGTATAACACATTCATCTGTCGGAAGTTTCAGATCTAATACTGATATTTTAACAACAAATTCAATAATGTAATTGTGTATTGATCCTTTTTTCTTTTTCTTTTTTTTTATAGAAATGTATTTAAATTAAAATATTGAAAGACTTGTTTTTTTAATACCTTTTTTGCATGTGTCATACTTATAAGTTGACATTGACACAACGATTATGTTGAAATCTGTGGGGGCTGTATGAAAGTTTATTAAATTGAAATTTTGTTATCAATTGAAATTGATGAACAATTGGTGACAAGAGGATGAAATTTATCCCAATATTACAGAAATAAATAGTAGAATTTTAAAAATATATATATTTAAGGACCTGCTCGGTAGTGATTATGAGAATTGATTTTTTGACCGTTGAGAGAAAAATAAATCCCATCTGTGAATGAAGAAGTAAAAAATGACGATTGAAATAGTAAAATAATGATAAAAAAATTGATTTTTTGAGGATAAAAAATTGCTACCAAACAGAAACTTAGATACATTAATTATTTACCGGTACCATTTTGATCGTTGCCCGTGATAATAATTATAATTCAGTTGCCTCTGATCAACTGTCTGTCACAAGTATCTTTCCTAGCTTTTTAATTCTGTTCCTAACATAAGGGGCACCGATTGTCACAAATTTTTCACCCCACGTGGGCCAACGGTATAATAATCAGCCCAACATAATCAAGATTTTAATGTGGGCCGAATGATGGCCCAGTCTATCTCAAATTGGAATTTCTTTGCTTTTGTCAGTTAAGATAAGCCCACATAGGCCCATTTAAGATTTAAAGCCCAATTAGCCTAAACAGGTCTAACCTAATCACCTTAACACATTTGCAGTTTTTAGTGTGCATATATATCATCCCTGAAACCCCACTGAAGCCGCAGCTATTCTCACTCTTAATCGTCCTTCAGGTTCGAATACGAATGCATACATACGATTCCATTCCGAATCTGTGTGGCTATTTTTATATTTGCACGAATGCGTGCTTGAATCTGTAGCTGATAAGGGTATTTTTAATTTGTTGTAACAGGTGGGGTTTGTGTTACAGTCGTCACAAATGGCTCCTGCTAAAGGTGCGTTTGGGTTTTAAACTAACATGTTATGTTATGTCTTGGTGTTCATTTGGGTAATTATTTTTAATGGTAAATCTGATTGGGATAGTTGAAATGCTCGTGCTGAGTTTTTTTGGTTAAGTAGTATATTTCCATTGATTTCAATATTAGAAAGAATGTTGGTGTATATGGGCTCTCTGTTAATTAAAGAAGCGGTTAAGTTCTTGTAGTTTTTCCCGCTGTAAGAATTATTAGACAGGTGGGAAAATTATTGGATTTTTACTCTTCATGGGGATGTAAAATTTGAAAGGCTTTGTAAAGTTGCCCCCCTCTTATAGCTTGTTTTACTAGGATCATCTCCATCTTGTTGGGGCTTCTTTAGGTCTATGCCTTTCCTTCAAACACAATTCAGCTTCTTGATGTGTTATTTTACTTGTTAGTTTATGTGTTCGAATTGCTATGCAGTTTTGTTAATATAGTAATTTCCCTTACGTTCAGTTGATAAACATTTTCTTTTCAATGTCCAACTATTAGGCCATCTCAAACCCTGCACCAAATTTTGCATCAAATCTTGCACCAAACTAAAATTCATCTTCATCCATTGCACCAAAAATTACACCAAATGAACAGTTTTTAACCATTTTCTTCCCTTTTTTTATTCTTTATAATTTACTTATTTGAAATATTATTTAAACAATTAAATAAATAATTACGTTAAATTACGGAAAAGATTAAATTCATTAGTAAATATAAAAAACACAGAACAATTAATAAAAATATTACAACAACGAAAATATGAAATCATGTCATCAGAAAATAGTACAATACATTTCAAATTTGGATAGACGATATTACGAAGTCGCTAAATTTTTGCAATTTAATTCTCAGAATTCATATATTCATCCCACAAATGATCGATTAATGCATTTCGAAGCGTAATGTGAGTTGTATGTATGTCGTTATTTAATATATTTCATGTTAACTTTAATAAATAATCGTGTTTGATGTATTTTAAATTGTTTTCGTTTTTTAATTAATTTATTAATTATTAACATTTAAAATTTATTTTAAATACAAATAATATTAATATTAATATTAATATTAATATTAATAATAATTTATTGTATTAAAAAATATATAGCACAAATGACATAAATACCCTCAACAAATTTATTTGGGAAATGTTAAATAAGAGCAAAAGAGACATTTTACACTTTGCACCATTTTGCACCAAAATGGTGCAAAGTTTGGTGTTGGGTTGGAGCAACTTTGCACCAAAAAATGGTGCAAAATTGTGCAATGGTGTTATGGTTGGAGATGCCTTTAGTATCTTAATAGACTTAAGAGGATTGCTGGTCTGATTATTATGTGAATGCATAGGTGCATAGAATCGTTGTATTATTTATGTAATTTGTACTCTGCTCTTACGAATTAGTAAATATGCCTTGTGGCGGATTTTAGAAGCTATCACAATATCATTATCCATTTCATGTAAATGGCTCTAATCCTATGCATCACGTTCTTTTCAAATGTTTCTCCGGTAGCACTAATCGTACCTAGATATCTGTAACAATCACCCTTAAAACATCGGCAACATGATCCTACGTAGTGGCTTCAGTATCGTCATTACTTGTAGTATGACTTCTTCATCATTTGACAATCTTTACACCAAGTTTAATATTATTTTTTGTACGTTCGCTAATATTTTTATTTCTAGCTACACAATAAAATTCAGTTGAAGTTAGCTGTTCAATCCATGTTATTTGAGTATGGCAATTTTTTATGTTTGCCTAATTGAGTTTTATCCTTCATTTAACTTGCTCTTTTCGTAGTGCCTTTTGTTTGCGTGTTAAATTATAGTCCATGTTTGGTAGAGATTAAAATTTAGATTTTAATCTAAGTCAAAATCAACAATTAATTTTAACGACTTATTTCATGGGACACAACTTTTCAACCTCACATTTTATCAACTTTTATCAAAATCTACTAAAAATCTGACATTAATTCCCACGAAAGAGGATAATTTGTTCACATAATTTCCCAGTATTGATGCCAAAGTAGAATTACTCGAGTTTTACCCAAAGTGAGGAGTATACAATTTAGAAGGTGAATTTTTATTTTGATACGATATATTAACCCTGGGATATGCACTGGATCTGTTCTCCTGCTCAGAACTATCGCTTGCATTTACCTTTTTGAGCCTTAATATCTACAAAAACCTATTATTCTTACTTGTTTGATTGTTTGATATTGCGTTTTGTTATGTCTGTCTTATCATTCTATTTTCTTTTGGGACACAGTGGATAGTACGAAAAAGGCTGATCCCAAGGCTCAGGCCTTGAAGACTGCAAAGGCTGTAAAAGCAGGTTCTTCAACAATCAAGAAGAAATCAAAGAAGATCATCACGAAAGTTACGTTCCACAGGCCGAAGACATTGAAGAAGGACAGAAACCCCAAGTACCCACGCATCAGTGCTCCTCCAAGGAACAAATTGGACCACTACCAAATTCTCAAATATCCTTTGACCACCGAGTCTGCAATGAAGAAGATCGAGGATAATAACACCTTGGTTTTCATTGTTGACATCCGTGCTGACAAGAAGAAGATCAAGGATGCAGTAAAGAAGATGTATGATATTCAGACCAAGAAAGTGAATACTTTGATCAGGTAATTATTGTTAACTCATTTGAGTGGACCTTGGGTTTGCAATGCACATGGGACAGACCTGATAGTTCAACTGTTTCTTCCACATTATTAAACCCATTGTGATCTAGGATAAGATGCTTTAAATAGTTGTTGGCCTAGAAGTTATTGATAATTTGTTTTTGTGGAGATATGAACTCCTGTTGTGCTCTTCATTCATTAGTTTATGGGGGTAAAGAGCACTCAATAAATGAAATTTATTAAAGATTTTTTCCTTTAAGCTATCTGAAAATATTTGCATTCTTAAAAGGATTTCAGAGATGATGAATACTGTTTGTTCTGGGATGCAGGCCTGATGGAACCAAAAAAGCCTATGTTCGGTTAACTCCAGATTATGATGCCCTGGATGTAGCTAACAAGATTGGAATCATCTAAAGCTTGTACTGATTTATCATTTTAGCTTGTTATGAGACAGATCCTCGGCGATAGACCATTGTTGGTTGTGATCTTTAGTACTGTTTTGCTTTTATTCTGGTTAATATTTGATATTGGCTAGAGTTCAATCTCTGATACCTACTTTTGGAACCTCTTAGTATACTATTGCATGAATGTTTTGGGTTACAAGTAAAAAAACTGCCTTTGTCTTCAACCTTGTGCGTTCATATTGTTGACTGGATATTCGAAAGGTCTTCTTAGCATTTCCTCACAAAAATGTAGTAAATTATTATTGTCATCAAATGCGACTCTTCACATTCCGTTATTGGATGCAAAAATCTCACTTTGTTTCTGCGCATCAATTTTTTAATTTTTAATTATTAATTTTTGGTTGTTTAGGTGGTTTTCTTGTTTTTCATTCAACTTGGATTTGATTTAATGGGCTTTCGTTAGATTTTATTTGTGTCGGTTTATGAAAAATTGATCTATATAGTCCAATTTTTAATGCATGTTTCACCTTTATGTGGTTTGGCAATATGGTGGATTCCCAGGTTATTGAGAGATGCTTAGTTTTTTGTTCTTTGATTTCCTTCAAGTAGAACTCGTTTGAGTTGCATGTTTTGTTAAATAAGTAGCGGCCCCTTGTATTAAAATTCAACTAGTGATTCATCGAACAGTAGGTCAATTCAACGTATGTGCCAACAATGAAAATATGATCGCCCTTGTACTAAAATTGTTCCGAAGATAGTAAGTTTTCCATTATAATTGCATAGTAAGTTCTCAGTCACAAAGACTATCCTACTCTATGTTAAATCATCACGTGGTTATGAGATTCCATCTTTATGAAGTTAATTTTGTTTCCCGACTTGGACCAGTGGTGCCTAAAAATTGGAATGGGAGCTCAAGAGGATCACGTGACAATTAACTGAAGATTTGGCCGCTTTCCATAACACATTTTGTCGTAGATTGGTATTGTGTTGTTTGATTAGCAGATGGGATTTATAGATGAAGGCTTATTGCACCAAGATGGTACGTTGGTAATTGTTGTGAATTTGGTTACTGAGCCAATGGCACGGTCAGGACAGTGACACAATATGCAAGATATGACCCGACTCACATAGAAAGCAAAACTACAAAGATGAGTTGTACCCACAAGTATATTTGGAGGCAACAATATCCAGTTCAATCAATATATTCAAGTACCTGCAGACGCGAAATCAATGGGTATGTAATCGTTTACTACCTTTATCTCGTATTTCAATCTTTTCGCTGCATCAGTCGGGCAAAAGTCACAAATATCAGCTCCATTTTACAGCCTAATACCAGTTAGGTTAGAATCAGGCTTTGTACTATGTTATTTGGGCACTGACTGGGGTCATAGGTAATGGTTTTGAACCAGTAACGGGCTTATTAGCTTACCCTGTAATGTATTTCGCCAAGTTTGCTACAAAATAACACATGAAACAAGAAAGCAAGAAACAAACAAATGAATCTTATTATACAAACGAATGAACCTACTTGCAAGATATCATTTTTTCCCCCTTATTTTATGGTTGATGCTTTCAGCAAAATCAGATTACAACTGGGGGATCAAAAAATGGATATACAATTTTACATATACAGCCAAGCCTCATAAAACAATGCATCAATGTTGCAAACATTTGAAAACACTTATTCTCAACACTTCCTTAACAATGGTGGCTCTAAATGAGTGTTATCGTCGCTGAAGGTGAAATTTTGCAAGTTACCAGACTCCAACTGGGAGATACAGAAGTCTTCTGTTCTCTGTTTCAATAACTTCTGAAAATGGCCGGGTCTATTATTCTCCAGAGAGGGTTCTGGTTTCTTGGGAAACTCGTTTAAGTTCTGGACTTGCTGCAAGCAAACTCGAACAGCATCATGGACTCTGACAAAATACCATTCCTTTCCAATGAGATCAATTGTGCCTGATCTTGCTAGGGTCAGCAGAACTAGTTGATTTGGATTGGAAATGGCAATCTGTAATTGAACCCAATATGCGAGGATAAGAGTCTTGCAGATTATAATCAATGGAAATCGAAAATTCTACTCTAATACCTGAATGTCCCTCAACTTGTATTCTTGATGAAGGTCTTTCAAAGCTTGAATGGCACTAGGGTCTATATAAGTGACCGCTGAAACAGATGAAAACAATGTTATTATATACCAAAAATGGCAGATTTAAATTGTGACAATAATTCATGTACAATTATACCCAGTCTAATAAGCAATAAGAATGATAAGTGAGTTAGAATACATGATCAAGTGGTCTCAAAGATTCATTGTTCAGGTGTATATGTTCTATTATTAACAAGTGTGATTTATATGTAATCTATAAGATTAGAGAGGACAAAATGAAATGTATAATTGCTGAAGAGTGCAAAAGGAAATGGGTAAGTCATTAGTGCACTAGAGTTTCTATGTGATCAGAACATACCTGACAAACATTAAGGCAAATTCCATGAAATAGTTCTTAAACTGCTATGCTAAATTGTAATGATTTTTGGGTTGTTAAAGAACAAAATGTTCCTAGGATAAATGTACCGAAAATGAGAATGCCAAGATGGATGAATGATTATCTTAGAAAGCACAAAAACGATAAACAAGGAAACAATGACTTAAGTGGTTAGGGCATGTCCTACGTTGACCTAAGGAAGCTTTCATTCATAAGAGAGATGTTATTGCAGGAGTTATTTATACGAGAGTTACACCAATATCATGTTTCGCTACACGTGATAGAGAGTTACAAAAGGACTGATTTCAATAGACATTTTTGTCAATGTAGCACTCGATCAAATGGGCAAGCAAAAAGTGAGACACAACTGATCCCAAGTTTATTGAAAATAAAACTACAAAAGAGAATCTAGCACATCCATACCAATGACAAACAAGTAGAAGGACAATAATTGATGCAAGAAATTAGAGAACCTGAGTACACAATCCAAGGAGAACCAAGCAAAAGAAAGAAAGCCTATGCATAAAATACTTGGTATGTAAAAGTTTAGGTCGTTACTCACGAGCCATTTCAATAATTACAAAATGAACTCTGGTAACTTCAGGTCCACGTTTCGAAGATCCATCATTGTCAATTTCATATTCCTGCAGCCTGGTAATGGAAAACTAAGTTATATGAATATTTAAATGTAAATAAGAAATTAAATGTGAGATAATATAAGCAAATTTCCATTTTTGTGGAAATAATAATGGCAACCTGTCTTTGATGTAATTTATGTTAGCAAAATATATTGGTGCATCAATTCGAACAATCACTATCCCATTGTATGTATACGCTTCCGGATACTGCTGAATGTTTCTGTAGATAGTGGTTCCAGGAAGTCGGCCCAGGACAGCTGCAAAACAAACCATATATCGAAATAAATTGCATAGGATGTCTAATGGAGCATGTGATAAAAATTTGGCATCGGAAACTTGTCTAAAGTACACACATACTTTAAGAAATAACGTAGGATTCTTTTCATTGATATCATTTTATTTTTATTTCTTTCTTTCTACAACTATTAGGTTAAAACTAGGAAATTTCCATTTTTGCTGAGCTTGATAACTTTCTCTATTTACAGATTTTAAGAATGAATAGAAATAGGATTTTCATTTATATAGACTATTGATTATTGATTTACCGCACGATATTGAATTCTTCATCTCTAAATTCTCTTCTCCATTTTTCTGACTTCTCTCTCCCATTCTATATCAATGTGACTACAATAATAATGACAGCAAGGACTGACATGATTACAAAAATAATGAAAAGACAAGCTATCAAAAATACTGAAGGGAAGCAAGTGATTTATTATTTTAAGAAAGTTAATTCAAAGATTATAACTAGATTTACCAATATGAGGGTTTGCAGATTCATGGATGACAAAAGCAAGTGAAACACCAACCTTAAGGCCAGCAAAACAGAGAAAAAAAAGGCAATTGTTAAGATTGGCTTAACCCAGCATTTTAAAGGAAATTATGCTGCAAATGTTGGTATAGATAATTTTTTGCGACTTGATAAACTGTATAGAAAATCCAAGTGAACATCCTGCCAATATATTAACAAGAATACATGATGACCGGGAAAAATATGTTGAAATTTTGTATCGAAAATTGGTTGTGACCAATTTTACATGATTATTTAAGTGGAATTTTTAATTTAGTGAATGAGAAATTAAGCCAAATGTAAGCCGCTTAATACTTGAAATTGTTTGAAAATTGTATGGAATATTGTGGAATATTTTAGAAAAAAGTTGGATGAAAAGATGTATTTTCATATGAACAGTCATGACCTTTGGCATAATCATTTTCCAAATAATTATGTATCAGAGAGTAAATCTCTACATTCATGATATTCTGGTGGAGTAATTTGGATTTAGTAATATGATCAATGTCACATGATTGTGTATAAGTATGAATGATAGAAGATTCATTTTTCATGAATGGTGGGAACGTGCAAGATTTTGTGACCATTGGTTCACATCTCTTTACTTTTAAATTGTTGCCTACAGATATGTTGAATTATATTTGAATATTTGTCTGATCAACCGCCCGCCAATGAAAAAACTGTATGAAGAAAAATTGTGCATAAAATGTGTATAAATTATTTAACAATTGGAAGATAATATTACCATGGTGGGTAATGAATAAAAATCATTTACCATTTCCATGGTGGGTAATGGATAAAAATCATTTACCGATTAATCTGTCCTTTTTGGTAGTTTCATTTGCCAATATCTATTTGCATTCTTAAAATGAATGTTTACGAATTAATTTGGAAGTGGTAAGGACTCCAAATTATTGCATGTGAAATAAAGATTCATTAAATACATGTTTAATGCAATTCATGATTTTGATTGTGATTCACATAATTAGTAATTTTCTCTCTATTGAAATTATGGAATAGGTTTTGATGACTCGTTGTATATTTTGTAACTGCCATGGGAGGAAATGATCGGAATAATATGACTTTTCATTTTAAATGCAATGAAGATGGTGAACTTATGCATGTGTTTATGTCCATTGAATCTTTCATATTAATAATTTCAAATTATAAATTGATTAATTATAAATGGACATTGTGAACCATTTTATATTTTGCAAGTCGATAATTCCAAGTTAAAAATTATGAACGGGCATGTAGTTTCATGATTTTGACGTATAGAATTTATTTGTCAATACAATGGCCTGCGCTTTGTT